TTGCAATGCAATGGGCATTTGCAATTTTTACTTGATTTGCATGTATCTTTCAACAGCTTTCAATGAAACTTGGTACATAGATGCCCTGGGATATTGCACAGAGCTCAGTAGTTTGGGGTTCAAATCTTTAAATATTACTGTAAAGGGGGTAATTATTCACTGGGTTTTAATTTAGCTTATTTCGCTGACTGGAGAAATGCGCTAAATTAAAACACAGTGAATATGTAAAACTTAGTATAGAACACATTATCTTAATGACGGAAACCGTGAATTTAAAACCCACTGAATATGCCTGAAATTGTAAATCAGTGAAATTTAAACCCAGTGAAAATTATTCATTTTACAGTAATTAGCCAAAATCAGCATTTTCACTTGTTTTTCAAGTACCATTTAACAGATTTCAATAAAACTTGGTGCATGGATGCTCTGGGACAATGCAAAACCCAGAAGTTTTTTATTGAATGTATATAATTCACCCAATATCACAACCACTCAACAGTTTTCAATGAAACTTGGTACGCAGGTACTCTGGAATAACAGTATACCTATTTCGCTTAGGGTTAAATTGTGTGCTTACAAATTACCTAATTTGCATAAATTATCCAATTTTCAGACATCATGAGTACTGCTCATCAAATTTCAATTAAGCTTGGTGCTTTTGGGTAATCCAGATCTGATTACTTAAGGGTTGAAATTCCCATGTATATTAATTACCCACCTTGTAAAAATGGGTTCATGCGAGTGCAGTGTTCTCCCCAGAGAATTGTCTCAGGGTTGCGGCTAATTTGCATACTAATTAACATAATGTAGTTGAATAAACATGATTTACTGTTTACAGTGAAACACATTTAGTTAATTAAAATGGGATATATTACCAAAAATATATTAGTTAGTATTGTTAATCGTTTACAATTATATATTTGGAGTTTTGAAAAAAAAATTATAATTATTACTTGAATTTAACCCCCTCCGTCCTTTTGTTTTGCTGCTCCCTTAATAGCTTTGCGCATGTGCTGGTAATTTGCATACCGCATTGTTAACAATAAAAAAACATGGCCGCAGTTAGGAACTATTCATCTCAGTCAGAGTCTGTTATTTATTTTTCTGCTCAAAATGGAGGTTAATTGTGCTAACTAATCCTTAAAACTGTACCCCTGACTTAATCAGTAAGGAAATAAATAGCTGATTACAGATAAACTTCTTTTGTTGTCTAGTCTTCCATGGTCAACGATGTAGATCGGTCAGTCACAGATGTACTGTAGTCATTTGTCCAGCACTGTCGGGTATTTTACTTCAAAACTACCGGTAATTTAAAAGTGATGATAGATTCATTGATAGTGAATTAAGGTACTTCTTAATTTCATCATTGCTTTCAAGTAGTCTTGGTTGGCTGAACTTGACTTGTATATTCTGGATAATTTTAGTCTAGTATGTCATCATGTTTACTAGCTTTGTACTTTTGAATGCAAAAGAGACCAAGTTTCACACTTCCTTTCAATCTGCCAATGCTGTTTTTGTTAATGAATGAACACCAGAAATAGTAAACATGTACAACAGATTCACAATAAAATTATTAAATTTAATCAGTCGAGGTGGGATTTCTTCAGCGTTGCGGTCAGTCCATTAACGTTGCGCAAGCAAGCTCTCAGTCACGACCATGCTACGCTAAAATGCTTTGGGGAGAACACTGCATTGTGACCCTATTAATATGCATAAGTGCAATATCTCAAGCACCGTTGCAGACAAGGACAAGCAGCAAGTGCTATAATGGAGACAAGATATGATTATTTTACTACATGCTCATATATGGTCATATGACTCCATAAATACAATAACTGTAATATCTCAAAGGCAAGTCTGTGGTCAATACAAGACCTACTTCAATGATTTTGTATGCAATAAATAATAAAATTTTATTGGAGATGTGCTTCTAATATACATGTAGTAAATACAGTACTCATTGTTTGTACTTCATGCCGACAATACCTTCAGCACACAGGACCTCTTTCTAAGCTTTCATACATGATATTTAGCTCCGCTGTCGACTTTGTCGAGCGGAGCTTATCATATGAGTGATTGTCAATCGTCGTCCGTGTCAATGTTTTACTTTTTCGACTTCTTCTTGAAAACTACAAGCCTGAATGCTTTGATACTTGGTGTATATGTACCTTGGGTAGACATCTCTTAGGTTTGTTCATTTCATGTTGATATCTTCAATTCTCTAATTTTGTTGAATATTTTTGTCATTTTTGGTAAAAAGTGATATTTTCGACTTCTTGCTGAAAACCGCAAGTCCAATTGCTTTGATATCACATATATAGGTACTACATGTGGACCTCTCTCAGATTTGTTCATTTCATAATGATATCTTTAATTCTCTAATTTTGATGAATATTGTTTGTAATTTTTGGTAAAAAGTGATATTTTCCACATCTGGTTGAAAACCCCAAGTCCGATTGTTTTGATACTTTACATATTGTTCATTTTTAGCTCCGCTGTCGACTTTGTCGAGCGGAGCTTATATGAGTGATTGTCCGTCGTCGTCATCGTCCGTGTCAATGTTTTACTTTTTCGACTTCTTCTTGAAAACTACAAGCCTAAATGCTTTGATACTTGGTGTATATGTACCTTGGGTAGACCTCTCTTAGGTTTGTTCATTTCATGTTGATATCTTTAATTCTCTAATTTTGGTGAATATTTTTGTCATTTTTGGTAAAAACTGATATTTTCGACTTCTTGTTAAAAACTGCAAGTGCAATTGCTTTGATATTACATTTATAGGTACTACATGTGGACCTCTCTCAGATTTGTTAATTTTGTAATGATATCTTTAATTCTCTAATTTTGGTGAATATTTTTGTCATTTTTGGTAAAAACTGATATTTTCGACTTCTTGTTAAAAACCGCAAGTGCAATTGCTTTGATATTACATATATAGGTACTACATGTGGACCTCTCTCAGATTTGTTCATTTTGTGATGATATCTTCAATTCTCTAATTTTGGTGAATATTTTTGTCATTTTTGGTAAAAAGTGATATTTTCGACTTCTTGTTGAAAACTGTAAGTCCGATTGCTTTGATATTACATATATAGGTACTACATGTGGACCTCTCTCAGATTTGTTCGTTTTGTGATGATATCTTCAATTCTCTAATTAATTTATTTTGGTGAATATTTTTGTAATTTTTGGTAAAAGTGATATTTTCGACTTCTTGTTAAAAACTGTAAGTCCGATTGCT